TAAAGATTTTTGTCACAATAGCAACTAATATATAAAACACATAGAAATATGTTTGCTAAAAAACATGTGGTTCTCAAATATAGAAACTTCACAGCATTGCTAAAACATGTAAAAAACATGATGATGATAATGGCAATAATTATAAGAGTAGAAGCTATCATTAACTGAATACTTTCTGGTGCTAAGTGCTTGGGTTATACTATTTTATGTGATCCTCTCACCTGTTGAATGAAGCAGGTAAACTGACAACATCCCTTCAACCTTAAAACCACTCAAGGACTTCTCACAGCTGTGATCAGAGGCAGCACAGGGACTTACACCTAGGCTGTCTGATAGCAGAAGCAATACTCTTGGCCTTGTTCTCACAAAGGTATATTGCAAATATATCAATTATTTGCTATATGAAATTCTGCTAAAAACAAATAGGAGGTTTTTTAATGCAAAATAATTCTGAAGTCACTGAATTAATAAGTGATATTAGCTGAAAAACGTTTGGAGAAGATGTAGTCCTACCAGGCATTCAATACTATTGTGCAACAAGTACGTGACACCAGCATAAAAATAGACAAATTGATGGAACAAAGCAAAAACCTTTAAATACAATCTAGTATGTATGAAATGTACTAAATGATCACAACAAAATTTCATAAGCCAAAAAAAATCATTATTTTTTAGAAATTTCTGGTAATTTGGGTCCTATTGATTAATATTTTACCCAAAGACCAGTAATTTCCTGATCCTGTTATAGCCGGGTTGTGTGTCCTCTCAAGAATTATCTGTAGGACTTATTTGCCTGAAGTAAGGGGAGCAAATTGGAAACAAAGTATCACTTTATTTTCATTAGCCAAAATTGGTGTCAAATTGAACTAGAGCATTTCCGGAAGTCACGAGGTCTTGGAAGTACTTCACTTCTGTCTAAACACAATTATCAACATCAGTTAAGAAAAAGAAAACCCTGCCACACTGAGGTTGTATACAGCCCATGTGAGAGAGGAAGAAAAATGAAAGAACTTTCTGGTCTGACCCTTGTGGTTAAGTGTCGGAATAGTGACACACCACATGTATACATTAGTAAAACAAATGATTCACTCCCGCTAATACATTTGACTAGTTAGTTTCCTGGATTCTTATTTAGTATTCACGTATGTGAAGAAACCAAAGAAAAGCAGAGAAAGTAGGGCAAAACTTTCATTTCTTCTCATTTTTTTAATCTTTCTTTTCTTCTCCATTTCCTTTTTATCTGAAAGAAATTGTACTATAAATGAGGAAAAGAGGAAGAAGCTCAGAGTAGAGAAGAAAGAGTTGTGCAAACACTTCCCGTGAAAGGATGACATTTTAAATGTTAGAAATATTGACTGATAAAAAAGAACCTGAGTAAGGACCTCAGTCCACACTATACAGAAAAACAGGTTTATATTAACTAAAATTTTAGCATAATACATCAAAATTTAACATTAAATATATTTATCTGGGGGCCGGCTCCATGGCCGAGTGGTTAAGTTCCCGCGCTCCGCTGCGGGGGCCCAGGGTTCAGATCCTGGGCGCGGACATGACACTGCTCGTCAGGCCACGTTGAGGCCGCGTCCCACATCCCACAGCTAGAAGGACGTGCAACTAAGATATACAATTGTGTGTGGGGGGTGGGGGTGTGGGGGGGGTTGGGGAGATAAAAGCAGGAAAAAAAAAAAAAGGTTGGCAACAGTTGTTAGCCCAGGTGTCAATCTTTAAAAAAAAAAATATTTATCTGATTTTGAGTAAGTACATGTATTAAATTAAAAGACAAAAGACCAGTAAATAAAATTATATACAAATGCTATACTGCTCTACACCAAAAATTGATGAAGATGTTAAAAGAAGAAAGTAGATACACAGAATAATATTTGCACAAATAATGACAGGACAATGGGTCAAATTTGTTTGGCGTTGTATACCCCTCTAATTACTTCTTTTTCTGCACCCTAGAAGTTTATATCATAATTTACTATAATTTAATTTGATTTCTTTCTTATCCACGGATTTTTAGGAAGTTTTTATCTTTTTTTATTTTTTATTTTTTAAGATTGACGCCTGAGCTAACATCTGTTCCTAATCTTTATTTTTTCTTTTATTCCTCTCCCCAAAGCCCCAGTAAATAGTTGTATATTCTAGTTGTGAGTGCCTCTGGTTGTGCTATGTGAGACACGGCCTCAGCATGGCCTGATTAGCGGTGCCATGTCGGTGCCTGGGATCCGAACCAGCGAAACCCTGGACCATCAAAGCAGAGCGCGTGAATTTAACCACTCGGCCATCCATCGGGACAGCCTCGGAAGTTTTTATATTTCATGCCCATACCCATAGAGTTTTCTAGTTACCTAATTTTTATTGCTTTCTATATGAAGTTGACATGATCAAAGAACATACACTGAAAGATTTCAATGTTTGAATTTGTTGAGGGTTTCTTTGTGTCCCATCTATTGTGAATGCCAGTGAGTGCTTCTTGTGTATTTATAAACAGTGGCATATTGTTTCTGCTACTGCTATTGTGGGGAGTTTAATGATGAGAAAAAAATATGTTGGATTCTGGTACATTTTATAGATTAGATACACAAGCTCTACCCAACGTGGTTTTTAGTTGGAGATGTTGGAAAGTTGAAATGTCTCCTGCTACTGTGGTCCTTGACACATATTTTGCTCTACCCATCAGATCCATACAAACAGGATTTGGAATGGCACAGTGATTTGGGGATCAACTTTTTGTTCCTTTTGACCTTTTCTACCAGTTAGGAGTTTGCAGAAACTGGTGGGCTTTCTCTGCAGTGTTGTTGACTCTCCAACTTCCTAGAGAAGCAACTTTGATGGATGAGGAAGTAGTGACATCTTTGATTCTCTGTATCTGATCCCTAGATCAGAGTTGTTATGGTGCTGTGTTTTGGAGTCGTACCTCCAATGGTAGCTCTCTTTGTGAATGGATGCTATATTGCCCTTAGGGTCATTACAAGGGTGTCACCCAAAAGTTCTTCCAGTTTTTCCAAATTTGAAGGCCTGGATTCACCCTAATGAATAATTTCCTGTGTAAAATGCCCAAACTGCTTTCTCTTCCTAGACTGACAAAACTTTTACTAATACCGTATTATAACAAGTGGAAGATCTGGTTCCACATAATTTTGATATCTATACAAACAAAATAATTCTACAAATAATTTTTAATTAAAAGAGGGATTTTCAAAAAGATTACAATTAATGTATAGAAATATTTACCCAAAAAATGACATCCTGATAATATCAGGCTCATTAAATAGAGTATTATGTCTCTAGTTATAGTGTTTCAGTCACACAGTAGTTATTAAAGAATTTTTCAATATAGATCTTCATCTCATAAATATTTTTACTGGATTTTTAAAATAATTTTATTGAATGCTATCATTTCTTTCATTATATTTTCTAACTCTTTAGTGTTTATATATAAGAAGTCTTGGAATTAGCAAAAGCAATTGCTTGACTTTGTGTTTGTAAAATTAGAGGGTATTTATTGCATCATGAAATATGTCTGCATCAAGAAAATACAGTAAACAATAATTTGGAGTAAATTATTTTCTTTTTTAATCATAGCAAATGTAATTTCCTGCAGAATTTAAAATATTCATTTATCTAAAACTTTTCTAATATAGTATAAACTTTTAAATCTGTTTCTCTATGCCTATCAATATGTATGCTGTAATAATTACTAGAAAGTTTTTCTTTGTCAATGAAGAGTATAAAGTCCAGAGAAACTTCCCAAAGGATACATAAAACCAAAGAAGAAAAGTTTCCTTGTATTTGGACTATTATTAGACTATTTGTTTGTATCTGAGGTTAACACAGTCCTCATGGACAACAGCCCTGGAGCCTGCACTCTAGTCTCCGTAATTGACTTTATGATTACTCCTCTCCCAGTGGAAATCCATCACAGAGGATGAGCTAGACCTAAATGCTGAAATATCATGAAAAAAGATTTCACAGGAATAAAAATAACGAAGGCCATAATAAACACCCACTGCAGACAGTGTCCCAAATGATTAGGGATTCTGCATGACACAAGGTTACTATGCTCCTTAAATATCCGTGATTATCCCATTATCTTTATTTTAAGATGTATAAAACATACAAAAATTCATGAAAGTAACTTTGCTTTGTGTATATTCCTTGTCCAGACTGAAGAGTGAGATCCCTGGACTAGATGTAGCTTTGGTAGAAAGTCATTTCCTGCAGTGTAAGGACTGGAATGTTCACCAGCTTTTCTCTGTGCTTCAAAAAAGAGCTAAAAGGTTATGAGATTTTTAAATTAAAAAACTACTAATGGATATAAAATGTTTATAATGAGGCAATGAACATGCAGTTAAATGGTGAAATGACCTTGATATGAGAAAATAGACATATATTTAGAAATAACTTAAGAGCTTTATTTCGTCTGGGCTTAGTGATTTTTTGATGTTATTAATTTTAACATACCAACAACATCTATTTTTATTCTCTTTTCAAGATGGCTTCAGTAAAAACTAAGTAGATTGAGGTAAAATGTTTTAAAATATATTTATTACTGTCATATAATGATTCAAATATTGACTTGGCTATCATAATAGACACAAACAATATCATAGACATTATACGTAAAACCCATTTTAGATTATATCTAATGCCATTATTTTAGATTATATTTAATATTCCTATTTTAGATAAATATCATTATTAAATTATAAACATTAAGGATAAAAATTCATAATGTGAGTAAAATTAGACAATAAAGTGTGCTACATTCTGAATTCTAAGCAAAAGCATGATTTAAATACAATAAAAAAATAAATTTTGCGGCTTATGAGAATAACAATTTCAGGAGCTTGGTGCTATCTAATCCAAATTCTTGATTCTTCATGATTTTAAAATTGTTTTATATGCAATATTTAATTAAACTGTGAAAAATTTATCTCCACATTTAAGAGAATATTTGTCACTAGAATCAAAGCTAAGAGTTGACTTATTTGCCTTCTGCCTCTCAGCAGGTTTCTAACATGGGTGGCAGGGGAACAAGCAATTGCTCAGAAGTGACTGACTTCATTCTCGTGGGCTTCAGGGTCTGCCCAGAGCTCTACATCCTCCTCTTCCTGCTATTTCTCCTTGTGTATGCCGTGATCATCCTAGGGAATGTTGGGATGATGGCCATTATCATGACTGATCCCCGCCTGAACACACCAATGTATTTCTTCCTAGGCAACCTCTCCTTCGTTGATCTCTTCTATTCCTCTGTTATTGCACCCAAGGCTATGATCAACTTCTGGTCTGAGAGCAAGTCCATCTCCTTTGCAGGATGTGTGACCCAGCTCTTTCTATTTGCCCTCTTCATTGTGACTGAGGGATTTCTCCTGGCAGCCATGGCTTATGACCGCTTCATTGCCATCTGCAACCCACTCCTCTACTCTGTTCAGATGTCAGCACGTCTCTGTATGCAGCTGGTGGCTGGTTCCTATTTCTGTGGCTGCATCAGTGCAGTTCTTCAGACCAGCATGACATTTACTTTATCTTTTTGTGCGTCTCGGGCCATTGACCACTTTTACTGTGATGACCGTCCACTTCAGAGGATTTCTTGTTCTGATCTCTACATTCATAAAATGGTTTCTTTTTTCTTATGCAGCATTATCATTTTGCCTACCATAATTGTCATTATTGTGTCCTATACGTATATTGTGTCCACAGTGCTAAAGATACGCTCCACGGAGGGACGTAAAAAAGCCTTCTCCACATGCAGCTCTCACCTAGGAGTTGTGAGTGTACTGTATGGCGCTATCATTTTTATGTATGTCATCCCTGACAAATTTCCTGAGCTGAGTAAGGTTGCTTCCTTATGTTACACCTTAGTCACTCCCATGTTGAATCCTCTGATTTACTCTCTGAGAAACAAAGACGTCAAGGAAGCTTTTAGAAAGATTCTCGGGGAAAAAATAGTTTTATTTAATTCTATGTTAACATTGATATAACTGACAGAGGTGTACAATCTGACAACTTGGGGGAGTATTGATGCAAAGAATGCACCCATTGGTCTTAGAAATATTTAATCTTAGTAGCCTATTAATTTGAATTCGATGTACTTACAGCTGAAGAATACATTTGGGCTATATTTTGCCTAACTGTTGCTTTTGGAGAGTAATGGGTTTCTCCATATTTCAACTTCATTTTGGGTAAAGATAATAATTGACGTGTCATTTGTTTTTAAAATGTATTCCACCTTTGCTGCTGGTTCTCTGAAGACGTTCCTTGGGATGTATTATTTATCTTGAATTAGTAATATATGTTATGTGCATATGGATGTAATTTGCAGAGGTAAAAAATATATCATGTAATAAGAAAGTATAACAAAATACATCACTTATTTAAGAAATCTTTTTGAGTGTTTAGTGGGAGAATCTGATGCTCTGCAGTGCACAGAGTCCTAAGGATGGCAATGAGTCACTCAATTGTCCAGAGTCTGAACGAGTGACACATTTATTTCAAGTTTCTTTCACTTGGATCATTATTATTTTGTCCCCCATCTAAATATCTACTAAATCAATAAATCATTCTTGAAAATTTCCCTCTTTTCACAAGAAACTGTAACAATAATCCAAAAGCAGTGATAGTTCATTTTTTGTTGTACAAGACTTTGTGAGAATTAACTCATCAAATTGATATTTATTTAATTTTGATGGACTATTTGCCCTCTGAAAATCCCTAGGTATAAGTAATTTCTATACTTAACCTCACAATAAAATGAGGGGAAAATGACTAAATAGAGGACTAAATTGCCACATGATAAACCCAGTGAAAAGACATAAATAGAAAATACAGAGCATGGATTCTCTAAGGTGAGTGGTCTTAATGGTCAGAGAAAACTTCCTGAGCACATTATTAAAAATAAATAGAATTGAGCGAGATTAAGTAGATAGGATTCTCTGCAAAGGAAATAAATACTACATAGCGAACTGCGTGAAGTTTAGTAAGTGACTTTTAAGGCACAAGACAGGGAGTGAGAGATGAGACTTCAAAGGAAATTCAGGGAAATCATGCAGATCTATACAAGAAGCCATGGAAGATGACCTTTATTCTGTAGACAGGGAGTAAGAATTGGGTTTTTTTCTTTAAGTGGTATTGTGTTCAAATTGGTAGCTTTGTGGAAGATAAATATTCACAAGGAGAAGACAGTAGTCACAGAAAGTGTGTGGTCATCAAAGTAAGAGCTTATGGTGGTTTAACGAAGGCAAGTGGATTAGAGAGAGTGAAGAGAGGGATTCTCTTTAAAGCGGCAGGTAAACTAAGCTGAATGTTGATTGATGGTTGATAAAATGAGAATGAGGTAGAAGTGTATAGTGACTTCTAATGTTTGAACATCTATGACTGGGGAAATGCGACCTCATAAAATGGAGAGGAAAATGTATGTGGGTTAATCATTGTAAGAGTTAATCATTAACTTAGAAGTTAAGGAAATAAGCTCAGGAGTCACACTGAGCTTTCAAATTCAGTTTTCACCTATGTCACTCTGGGCAAGTTACATATGACTGCACTTTCATTTCCTCGTGTAAAATGAGGTGCATAATAGCATGTAAATCAGAGCTACTTGAAGGATTAAATTATATAAATTTCATATAAATTTGTTAAATCTATATGAATATATTTAACGGCTGCCAGATTTATTCTTTCCCCTTGTCCTCAGTACTATGTCATGTTAAGTCTGAGAGAGGAAGATAATAATGTTCTGTGCGTCTTTCCCTGACTCTCAACTGCAGAGCACCTCCAACTCTCCAAGCTGACCTATGCTTCCATTTCCATAGACAGATTTTGAGGAACTGCTGACTTGGCTACTTCAGTCTTTACCTTTCTTTCTGCTGAGAACTAATTAAAAATATTTTTTAAATGACAAAAAAATGAAAGGATCCCCCAATTAGATGCAAAATAATATCTTATCAAATACTGTATCTATTTATCTCTCTACCCATGTCTTTCTTTAAGAATCTTCTCTTACACTTTCACAAATGTCTCCTCTGTCACCCACAGTTTTTAAAATACAATTACTGGGGAAAATAGGGGACTCACAAGGTAGAAAACCTTTATGACGATTTTCAGATAAGTGGCCACTGTGTTAAGGTGGTGTCTTGCTTCTCTCCTGAGATGAAGCGGAAAGATTTTTAACTTGAAAGAGGCACGTTTTACAAACCCTCCTCTGGGAGTACAATGCAGAATCCTTCAGGCAGCATTCTGAGTCCTATAAGGGAACAAACCTGCAATGAAAGAGGCTCCTGATTCTTTATAATTCCAGCCCACATAAGTCCCAGGCACAGGATCTTTGTCCATTAGATATTAGTAGTCTTATATTAAACTGAGAAAGAAATCCTAACAACAGAGTTGCTGACAATGGAGAAGAATTTCCCCCTATAATCGCCCTGTGCTGCACAACTCCAACCCACCATCAGACCTCACATATACACATAAATACAAACATAATCACAGTCTCTCTCTCTCTCTGTCTCTCTGTCTCTCTGTCTCTCTGTCTCTCTCTCTCTCTCACACCAGGATACCTTTGAGTAGAATATGAAGAATGGTCACTGATTGAATCACCTCCTAGAGCAATATATGTCCAGTGTCATCGAGCTGACTCAGAAAAGAATCTTCATGCTGAGGTACTGGCTAACAGACCTCACCATAAGAGAATGTGCATAGTAATTTTTCAGTGCTGACTTTTTTCCTTCTTTTCCCATGTTCAGGTAATTTCTGTCATTGCTACAGGAATTAAATTCAGGTATTCTGTTCTCACTCCTCTTTGGAACTTACTCTGCTTACTTTACTTTTGACTCCAGGAGATGGTAAGTCCTGAAAGCAGAGATGAGATTGAAACATAAAAATAAAATCTATCACGTTAATATAAATTAATCAAAATATATACATAAATGAATACACACATATGTGTACATAGGATTTTCTAAATATGATATATGCTTAATAATACTGCTTATAAAATAATGAAAGTTGTAATACAAGTCATGTAGAAAATCACTTTAATAATATATAGGTAATTTTTTTCATTTTTTTTGCTGCTGTGTTTATGATTTTTTTTTACTTTTTATTAAGATTATAATAGTTTACAACCTTGTGAAATTTCAGTTGTACATTATTGTCAGTCATGTTGTAGGTGCACCACTTCACCCTTTGTGCCCACCCGCCTCCCTTTCCCTGGTAACCATGAATAAGTTCTCTTTGTCTACATGTTTAACTTCCACCTATGAGAGAAGTCATACAAAGTTTGTCTTTCTTTATCTGGCTTATTTGACTTAACATAATACCCTCAAGGTCCATCCATGTTGTTGTGAATGGGACGATTTTATTCTTTTTTATGGCTGAGTAGTATTCCATTCTATATATATGCCATGTCTTCTTTATCCAATCATCAGTTGATGGGCACTTAGGTTGCTTCCATGTCTTGGTTATTGTAAATAATGCTTCAATGAACATAGGGGTGCATGGGACTTTTGGAATTGCTGATTTCAAGTTCTTTGGATAGATACCAAGTAGTGGGATGGCTGGGTCATATGGTAGTTCAATTTTTAGTTTTTTGAGAAATCTCCATACTGTTTTGCATAGTGGCTGCACCAGTTTACATTCCCACCAGCAGTGTATGAGGCTTCCTTTTTCTCCATAATCTCTCCAACATTTGCCACTATTTGTTTTGGTTATTTAGGCCATTTTAATGGGTGTAAGGTGATATCTTAGTGTAGCTTTGATTTGCATTTCCCTGATGATCACCGATGATGAGCATCTTTTCATGTTTCTATTGGCCATCTGTATATCTTCTTTGGAGAAATGTCTGTTCATGTCTCCTGCCCATTTTTTGATCAGGTTGTTTGGTTTTTTGTTGTTGAGCTGTGTGAGTTCTTTATATACTATGAAGATTAACCCTTTGTCGGATATATAACTTGTAAATATTTTTTCCCAATTAGTGGGTTGTTTTTTTGTTTCAATCCTGTTTTCCCTTGCCTTGAAGAAGCTGTTTAGTCTGATGAAGTCCCATTTGTTTATTCTTTCTATTGTTTCCCTTGTCTGAGAAGACACGGTGTCCGAAAAGACCCTTTTGATACTGATGTCAAAGAGTGTACTGCCTATATTTTCTTCTCAAGCCTTAAGGTTTCAGGTCTTACCTTGTGGTCTTTGGTCCATTTTGAGTTTATTGTTGTGAATGGTGATAAAGAATGGTCAATTTTCATTCTTTTACAAGTGGCTGTCCAGTTTTCCCAGCACCATTTGTTGAAGAGACTTTCTTTTTTTCCACTGTATGCCCTCAGCTCTTTTGTCGAAGATTAGCTGTCCATAGATGTGTGGTTTTATTTCTGGACTTTCAATTCTGTTCCATTGATCTGTGCACCTGTTTTTGTACCAGTACCATGCTGTTGTGATTACTGTAGCTTTGTAGTATGTTTTGAATTCAGGGGTTGTTATGCCTCCAGCTTTGTTCTTTTTTCTCAGGATTGCTTTAGCAATTTGGGGTCTTTTCTTGCCCCATATGAATTTTAGGATTCTTTGTTCTATTTCTGTAAAGAATGTCATTGGGATTCTGATTGGGAAAACGTTGAATGTGTAGATTGCTTTAGGTAGTGTGGACATTTTAACTATGTTTATTCTTCCAGTCCATGTGTGTGGAATGTCTTTCCATCTCTTTATGTTGTCATCCATTTCTTTCAGGAAAGTCTTGTAGTTTTCGTTATATAGGTCTTTCACTTCCTTGGTTAAGTTTACCCTAAGGCATTTTATTCTTTTTGTTGCAATTGTGAATGGGATTGTGTTCTGGAGTTCTTTATCTGTTAGTTCATTGTTAGAGTATAAAAATGCTACGATTTGTGTATGTTATTTTATACCCTGCAACTTTGTTGTAGTTGTTGATTATTTCTAATAGTTTTCCAATGGATTCTTTGGGGTTTTCTATATATAAGATCATGTCATCTGCAAACATCAAGAG